TAGGTCTGCGCCCAGGATCCGGGCCTGTGAACCCCGGGCCACCAAAGCGGATCATGCGAACTTATCCACTACGCCATGGGGCCGGCCCCTGTCAGCAGTTTCTCTGCAGCATCCGTCACCCGGCAGAATTTGCCCTCGATGACCCCAGACCGGGTGAACCGTGGTGGTCAAGTCTTGAAGACCCCCAGATGGGGATTACATCCGTGGATTCGCAATGCAATTCTGAAAACACTGCTGACCACCATGTGCCAAGAGAGTACCGTGTCCTGGAGCGGGGGAAGCAGCGCCAGCAGCTAAGTCTGGCGGCAAGTTAGGTGCAAACAAGAGCATCCTCCGGGAGGCTGAGGCCAAGGCCAGGAGAGGAGCGCACCAGGAGTGTCGGCGCACAGCCCCAGGAGGGAGAGCACTGGCTGGGCCCCTGCTCAGACCCAGCCCAGGAGGGGACTTTCCAGGGCTGTCTAACAGGATCTGTGCACACCTGGTCAGATGGATGCCATCGTGCCCATTTTAAGATGTGGAGACAGCGCCCAAGATCACATAGCCACCAAGTGATAAAATTGACAGTGAAGCCAGCCTCCTGCTACTAATAATCTGACCTGTTCTGTCTGTTCACTGACCAGAAGCAGACACAGTAACATATAAGACATGTGTATAATAAATTTGACATCACAACACAGCAAGGTTTTTAAAAAAAATTTTAATTTAATGGTGTTGGGAAAGTTGAAAGAAAATCTGAAAAAAAGAAGATTACACTCCAAGTGGATTAAGAAAGACGACAGGAAATTAATTTTTAACAAGAATAGAACTGAATGTTCTTAGATTGTCAAGAAAAAGTGACATTTTAAACTCTGAAATTGCTAAGAGCAACAAATTTGACTCTATGAAAATGTAAAACTAAAAACAATGAAAAATAGCTAAGGAAAAAAGTCTGGAAAAATATTTGAATTAAATGGGACAATGATTTATCCTAAATAAACAGTTCATACAAATTAATAAGAAATACATAAGATTATAATAGATAAATGTGTGAAGGACATGACTGGACCATTCACAGAAGAGGAATTAAATATGGAAAGATTGTCAATCTTATTTGTATTCAAAGAAATGTAAATTAAAATGAACCATTTTACCTCATTACCTCTTAAAGTGGAAAAAATATATTTTCCTGATGAACATCTCTAAGAAGATTGTGCTGAGCCCAACACACTCGTGCAGTGCCATACAATTACTAGTCACTGTGAGCATTTGGGTCAAGCCACGAAAATGTTCATAGCTGTGACCTTCACGAGGGCATTTACACTATGAAAACAATGTGAAAGAAAAAAGTCGTAAGTGCAGTTATTACAAATTTCTATAACAGCAAAAAGTACTGCACACAACCTAAATGTCCACAATTAAGGGGTCAGAAAATGAAGCAACATAGAAAAACATGGATCTACATGGCATTCACTGAGAAAAGCAAACTATAAAGACATGTAGATTCTAATTACGATTATGACTCTGAAACCATTGTGTAATATATGGAGAATATCTGAAATGGAATGTGAAACAATAGACAACCCAAGAATAACAGGATCACAAATGAATTCTCTGCTCTTGAAATGCCCTTCTGTGGATGGAGAGAAATTCACTGCAGGGCCAGGTCTCGGAGAACTTTCCTTAGTCTGAGTCCTGGCTCACGTGACTATGTGGCTTTTAAGATGAAAAAGGCAAAGATGATTTTCAAAATTTTTCCTAAACGGTTAAGATTGTTTGTACAGAAAAATTAAAATTGGAGGGAAAAGTTGTAGGAGCTTAAATATCTTAGGCATAATGGGGCAGAAATAAAATACACCTCCTCCTGCAGGCAGTCTGGTTCAGAGCACTGGATGCGCGTGTGGTAAGCATCTCCTTGGTCTCGGGCTTGTGCCCATCATGGTGATGGATGGAAAGAAGCTCCTCTCACCCCAGTTTACAACCTACGGGCAAGGCGAGGCTGACCCACATACATGGCGCCCGTGGCTCCAGCCCTGGGAGAGGGAGGCCTTTTAGGGACCGGGCAGCAGGCTCTGAGGGGCAGGATGGGGCAGAAGGAAGAACACTCCCGCTTTGCGGGTTGACACCTGTCTGAGAGTGGCTGGATTCTCAGCCGACCAGGATGAGGGTTTCCATGAGGTGACTTGTTTCTAATCCTGGGGGGAGTCCCCCTGAGGGGAGAAGAGAGAGCAATATCACGGAGACTGAAACCTGGGAGGCCAGGCCCAGGGCGGTGTCCCAGCCTCTGCTGCTTCTTCCCATCGGGACACGTTCAGACAGGCCCCAGGGCCCAGGGCCCAGGACCCAAGCCCCAGCAGAGAATCCACCATGTGCTCTGGGCCACACACTTCCCTTGGGCAGGAGACCGCGGCCCCAGGAAGCAAGAATCGCTGTGTTTTAAATCAACAACCTGCTTCTACTTCCCCTCCACCCCGCCTGTATTCCTCTCGCCATCCTCTTTCCCATTCTTCTTTGTCACCTGGCGGTTTCCTTGCTGTTCATCTCCAGCTTTCAGAATCACTCACGCTCCCTGTGCCCCAGACGGAGGTGTACCCAAGGGGAAGGGGAGGCCAGCAGCACTGGGCCTACCCCTGAGGGTTCTGCTGAGCAAGCACTGCCCTGCTGGCCTTCTAGGGAAGGAGGCTGCAGCCGCTGGGCCACCAGGCTGTGGGCATCACTCCCCAGCAACCACGTAATCAGACATTAGAAAAACTGCTGAGTCTCCGGCAGCCCCTCAGGCTCCACTCTTGGGCTGACTCCTCTGGAAACCGGAGCCTGGGGGCTGGGATGCCCATGGAGAGACAGGCAGAGACCACTCACTCCCTGGCCTCTGCTCTTGCTTGCCCTCCCCATCTTGTAATTGGCCCGGGAGAAAAGTTCTGGACGGGAACAGCCAGAACACACGCATACCCAACTCTCCCTAAGCATTTCCAACTCCCTGGGGATCTCCATGGACCAGCAGGACCTCAAGCTAGGGTGACCTTGTGCCCCAGTTTGCCCAGAGCAGGCCTGGCAAATGGCCTAGGTTAATCACCATAATGCCTCTGTCACTCTCAGAAGTGCCCTGGTTTGGATCATAAACTATTTCACCACTCTACATCAAATCAACATCAAACTGAACACATACACACACACTGTGTTCCCAACCTCAGTGAATGGGACAGCATCCCCACAGTCCCCAAACTGAGCCGCCCCAGGCCCGTCTTCAACGCCTCTCTGCTGAGATCCACGATGTTACAATGATCTCTTGAATCGATCCTCTCCTTTCTGTCCCCACTGCCAGCAATCAATTTCAGGCCCTCCCCATCCCCAACACAAATAATTAAACAGCTCACTGGGAGGTCTCCTGGGCCTGAGCCTCCCCTCTCTGCCGTGCAGAGTTCTGCCAGTGATGTTTTCAAACCACACCGACGTGTCCCATACTCAAGAACATCCAGTGGCTCCCCACTACCAACAGAATGAAATCCTAGTCCCCTATGATCTGGCCCCCACCACCCTGCCTGCTTCTGAGCCTGCCACCCACCTCCTACCTGGGCTCTGGTCACATTGGGCCCAGGAATTGCCACTCTAATTCGCCCTCCAACTTGGTCCTGGAACTGACCTCCTGGAAAGCCTTTTCTGATTTACTCCCCCATCAGAAGTAACTGCTCCCTCCTCTAAGCTCCAAGAGGACTCTGTCTGTAACAGTTACCACAGCTGGCCTCTGGCCTGGCCACGGCGCGTACCAAGTAGGTGTCCATCTCCCACGCCTGAACACGGAACCTCCAAGGTCAAGAATGGCGGCTCTTGCAGTGCGGGCCCCGTGGAGGAGCTCACTGCTAACTGCACTGAATCAAATACACTTGACAATCCACCTCAAGTTTTTAACACCAGAATGCCCAACAGCTCAGTCACCCACTCTTGCTGACGGTGGGTGGGCTCTGGGAGGACACACACTGTGACATTAGTCCCAATGCAGCATCTCATGGCAGGGATGTCTGCTAAGAAGAACTCAGACCCAGCCAGAGTCGCCCAGAATCCCTGCTGCACCGCACCTTCTGGAGAAAGGGCAAGCTCTCCCTCCCCCATCCACTCCTCCTCAGGTCCCCCACCCCCTTCAAGGTCAGACTCCATTCCCACCCCTCTCCACGAATACTCTCCTGACTGTCAGTCCACAGGGCATCTCCCCCTTCTCTAAACTCCGGACTCCTGATGTAGGAACTAATCTGGTGCTAAATTAGGTGCCCTTGTGTGTCATCCTCTGTATTTGAGTTTACATCTGTGTTTGACTTAATGGATAGGTTTTGCAGGATGGGGGAAGATGGGGAAGAGCTAAGATTTAAATCCCAGGCCCTACTCCTTGCATCTGGATGATCCGACTGTACCCCTCCTCCTCTAGCTTAAAACCCTTCCATGTGGCTCCATGAGGACCTGATTTGGTCAGAAAAGCCACTCTTGGGTTAAGACATTTAGCCCCGCATCTCAGGAGAGCTCTGGTGGCCAACTCCTGATCAGGAAGTAGGCCCCGGAGGGCAAGGTCCCCCGTCCACCCCGGTGTGCACCAGAAAGCAGGACAGGGCAATGGGCACAGGCTGAGGCACCGTCGCCCTTGTAAGATCCTCATCCCGCTTCTGTCTCCTCACCGCCAGCATTAGAGAAACAGCAGCGCGCAGCGCGGAAGGAGCGCAGTGGGGACGAGAACCGACGAGGGCTCGTGGGCACCAACCACTTCTTCCACCCTGACATCAGACCCCCGACATGGTTTACGAGCCCATTTCATGAACAAAGAAACTAACAGAGGAAGGGTACGCCGCCATCTCCACCCAGGAGCCGGCCCCTCCTGCCCTGCACCCTCCCTCTCCACTACCTTCCTGCCCACCCATTCGCCTCGGTCAGGGTGGCAGGAAGGGAGGTGCTGGGCACCGTCTGTGAAGAGCAGCCCCCACCTGCCCAGAGCTGCAGCCGCCGCACCTAGGGTTTATTCGCTCCGGCCTCGCAGCCTGGCCATGCGCCCCACGGAGCCCTGGAGCCCCAGCCCGGGGACTGCGTCCTGGGACTACTCGGGCTCCGGCGCCCTGGAGGAGCTGGAGCTGTGCCCGTCGGGAGACCTGCCCTACGCCTACGCCTATGTGCCCGCGCTGTACCTGGCGGCCTTCGCCGTGGGCCTGCCGGGCAACGCCTTCGTGCTCTGGCTGCTGGCCGGGCGGCGCGGGCCGCGGCGGCTCGTGGACACCTTCGTGCGGCACCTGGCGGCCGCCGACCTAGGCCTGGTGCTCACGCTGCCTCTGTGGGCCGTGGCGGCGGCGCGCGGCGGCCGCTGGCCCTTTGGCGAGGGTCTCTGCAAGCTCAGCAGCTTCGCGCTGGCCGGCACGCGCTGCGCCGGCGCCCTGCTGCTGGCC